GGGAGCAGCCACTGCACTCCAGTCTGGGCGACAGTGAGACTCCGACTCAAAAAAATAAAAAAATAAAAAAAAAGAAGCATGTTTCAAATGGTAGAGTTCCAGAACAGAGCAATTGAAATGGATGAGAGACAAGTGCCATAGCATCCCCTTCCTCTTCATTCCTTCTGCTGTCCTTTGAGTCTGGACTGTATCATTTGTTGCCCAGTTTATTGCCATCCTTGCCTTTCCAACCCCTCTTCTGTGCCACTGTTTATTTCCAGTCTCTACTGTTCCTCTGTCCCTTGCTGAGAATGCTTCCACTTGTCACATCGAGGCTGAGCTTGTGTGACCCTCATTGCAGGCCCTCCAGAAGTCCAGCTTCTCTCTGCTTTTTCAGCTTTCCCTCCCCCTCTCTCCACACAGATCCTACATCCTAATTAGGCCAAGCTCCTTCCTGTACCCCCTCCTCCTCTTTCATCACTTGGTTCTCTGAAGGACTCTCTCTTACACTCTATTTGAAGCATTCCCAAAACCTATCTTTGACCTATAGCTACATCTTTCTGTCTTCTGCAGTTCATACTGTACTTTCCTATTCATTCTTGCAGTAAACATTCATTGACTGCATCTAAACTTCTATAGCACTTATAGTCTGTACTACTTGAACATTTACTTACTGTCCTTAGTAGTTCTCTTACTTGTATGTAGATCTTCTTTTCCCCCAATCCCGCCTCCAGTTTAATCATAAATTCCGACTGGACATGGCGGCTCACGCCTATAATCCCAGCACTTTGGGAGGCTGAAGTGAGACAATTTCCCGAGCCCATGGGTTCAAGACCAGCCTGGGAAACTTGGTGAGACATCATCTCTACGATAAATCAAAAAATTAACTGGGCATGGTGGCGCATGCCTATGGTTCCAGTTCCTTGGAAGGCTGAGGCAGAAGGATCACCTGAGCCCAGCAGGTCGAAACTGTGGTGGCCGTGAGCGTGCCATTGCACTCCAGCCTGGTTGACAGAGTGAGACTCCAACTAAAAAAAAAAAAAAAAAAATATATATATATATAGACTCCTTGAGGCCAGGGACTTTATCTTAGATTTTTCTCTCCTGTATATACACTTAATCTTAGCCAAAGGGCTGAGAAGCGATCTCTCTCCTGTATATAATAGAAACTCAGTAGTAAACAATTCTTTGATTGATTGATGTGAAGGTCAGCAAACATTTATAGAGTCCCTGCAATGTGCTAGACTCTGAGGAATACCAAGAAGATTACAGTACTGTCCAAGCCCTCAGAAAGCTTAAGTCATCAATATATAAAGCTAAATAAATTTATAAAGCTAAAATATATGGTCCTTTTATAGGATCTTACAAATAGGGCTGTAGCTTACTTAATACACTGAGGGTGGGACTTAACACAGTCAACCCCAGAACTAAAGAAAATCTAAGATTCTCTGACATTCACTGCACCTTCTAAATTTTCTTTTTCGTAAACCACAGGGAACCATATTCTTATAATCCTAGCTATGTTTTTACACCTTGCACCATTTCTGCTTTCAGGACTCTTTGGTTCTACCTGGTATTTGATGAGTTAATAGACACAAAATCAAAGACTTAGATGCCACTTTAGAACAAAGATGTTTGCAATGTGCTCCAAACTCTCGGCCTCCTCTCCAAGAAGGAATGTAGGCCAGACTCAGCCTCTTCTCTTGAAATGTACATTTGGGTAGGGCTCTGTATTTTCAGAATCCGTCTCGTTATTTCATTTGAGCCTCACGTTAACCCTGTGAAGTAGAGTATTTTTGCTTGAGGAATAAGTAAATGATTACCAAGGGTAAGTCATTCCATTGTTTACTTGTGTCTACAGAGGGGTCAGTGGTGGTAAGTGGCTTCACTCTTTCCAGAGTCTGAGGCTAAGACAGAAGGATTGGCTTGAATGTTAGATGCATACCTTGCCTACCCTGTTTAATCAGTTTTTTGGTTTTTTTTTTGAGTTTGAGTCTTACTCCTTCACACAGGCTGGAGTGCAGTGGCATGCATGCTCACGGCCACCCCAGCATCGACCTCCTGGGCTCCAACAATCCTTCCGCCTCAGTCTTCCAAGTAGCTGGAACTATAGACGTGTGCTACCATGCCCGGCTATTTTTTATTTTTTTTATTGTAGAGATGAGGTCTTGCCAAGTTGCCTGGGCTGGTCTCGAACCCGCGGGCTACGGCAATTCACTCACCTCGGCCTCCCAAAGTGCTGGGATTATAGGCTGAGCCACCGAGCCCAGCCATTAAGTTTTTATCATGTGATGTTTCTCTGGTCTCCTGGCTCCTTTACTCCTCTTTGCAACATACTAAGAGAGAATTGTCCAACACTCTACTTCAAAAGCCTTTCTTCATCTTCTTGAAGCTCTCTTGAGCCTTTGTAACTAAGAATCCAGTGCTTAGAATTGGGTTGGTTGAAGAAGAAAAAAAGAATTGGGTTGGTTGAAACTGTCCTTTCTCAAGTGAAATGAGTTAGAGACTTGCCTTAATGTCACTCTTTTCTTCTTTTCAGATTGGCTCCACCAGTGCACCTGGACAGGGAGGAATCCTGGCGCAGCGGGAATTTGATAGGCGTTTCTCCCCCCATTTTGTAAGCTTTCTATTGTTTTCTCTTAGATGAAATGTTTTGTTGGTTAGTTCTTGCCCTGTTTGTTTATGTCTGATATAGGCAGCCATAAAATATCCTGATTTTTTTTTTTTTTTTTTTTAAGTCGGGATCTTTCTCTGTTGCCTAGTGGCATGATCTGGCTCACTGGGGCCCCAACCTTCTGGGCCCAAGTGATCCTTCTGCCTCAGCCTCCCAAGTGGCTGGGACTACAGGCCTGGCTAATTTTTTGTTTTGTTTTTTTTTTTGGTTTTTTTTTTTGGTTTTTTTGAGTTGGAGTCTCACTCTGTCGTCCAGACTGGAGTGCAGTGGCACGCTCCCAGCTACCGCAGCCTTGACCTGCTGGGCTCTGGCGATCCTTCTGCCTCAGCCTTCCAAGTAGCTGGAACTACAGGTGTGTACTACCACGCCCTGCTCATTTTTGATTTATTGTAGAGATGAGGTCTCACCAAGTTGCCCAGACGGGTCAGGCAATCCATTTACCTCAGCCTCCCAAAGGCGCGGGATTACAGGCTGAGCCACCGAGGCCAGCTAATTTTTTTATGTTTTTTTATTTTTGTAGAGATAAAGTCTCACTTTGTTACTCAGACTGGTCTTGAACTCCTGAGCTCAAGCAATCCTCCTGCCTCAATCTCCCAATATGCTGGGATTACAGGTGTGAGCCACCACACCTGGTCACATATCCTGACTTAACCATGCCCAGAGATTTTTGGCAATGACATCACAATTGCCAAAACCATCAAACTTTTTTTTCTCTACTCATCTTTCAGTCCCATCTTAGAGTTCTGGATTTATTTTGAGGTTTAAAAGACTATCTAGTTAGAGTCAAAGGATCACAGAGCATTGAGAAGGTTAAATAGGAATTTTGCTGTGGTCTAGTCCAGGGATAATTTTTAAAAAGATTTTCCTGGCCAGGCTCAGTGGCTCAGCCTGTAATCCCAGCACTTTGGGAGGCCGAGGCGAGTGGATTGTATGAGCCCACAGGTTCAAGACCCACCTGGGCAACTTGACGAGACCTCATCTCTACAATAAATAAAAAAAAATTAGCCAGGTGTAGTGGTGCACGCCTGTAGTTCCGGCTACTTGGAAGACTGAGGCGGAAGGATCGCTGGAGCCCAGCAGGTCGAGGCTGCAGTAGCCGAAAGCATGCCACTGCACTCCAGTCTGGGTGACAGAGTGAGACTCCAACTCAAAAAAAAAAAAAAAAAAAGATTTTCCTAAAGTACTGAATGAAGGAATTTATTCATTCATTTAGTAATTAATTATGAAGTTCCAAATTATGTGCTCATTCTGTACTCTGCTTAGGGAAGACAATGCTAAATGAGACACAGACCCTTCCATGAAAGGTCTTATGAGCTCAGAGGACTTGGAACAAGTAAACAGGGAAACAGTGTTGTGATAGGGGTTATATGCCAGGTGCTGGAGGAGATGTGGCAGGAACGTTGAGCCTTCCAGAGTCAGAGAGGGTTTTCTAGAGGCGACAAGGAGGGGCAGACATTCTAGGAAGAGAGAGCAGCTGAGACATGAAAAAAAGCATGGTGTGACCCAGGAAGGGCTAGCAGTTTATCAAGGTGGGAGATCAGAATGGGAAGCAGAGGAGTGGAAAAGATGGAGCTTGAGGTGTGAGCAAGGGTCAGATCACAGGAGGCTTGGCTGTCGGGCAAGACCCAGGTGTCCCCATTCTCAAAGATTGGAAGAGAGAAGCTTCTCTTCCAGTCTGGGTTGTGTCAGGCGAGGCCTTTGGCTTCATAACTTAAAAGATAAGATTGGTCTTTAGAGAGTCCTGTATCAGGAGTGGTCAGAGAGAAATCTTCCTGGCCAAAGTTGTGCTTAAAATTCGGGCTAGACTGCTCCCTTTCCTTTTTTTTTTTTTTGAGTTGGAGTTTTACTCTGTCACCCAGGCTGGAGGGCCACCGCAGCCTCAACCTGCTGGGCTCCTGCAGTCCTTTCACCTCAGCCTTCCAAGTAGCCAGAACTACAGGCGCATGCTACCAGGCCCAGCTAATTTTTTGATTTATTGTAGAGACGAGGTCTTGCCAAGTTGCCTGGATGGGTCTCGAACCTGCAGGTTTAGACTGCTCCCTTTCTTTTTTTTTTTTTTTTTTTTGAGTTGGAGTCTCGCTCTGTCACCCATACTGGAGTGCAGTGGCACGCTTCTGGCCACCGCAGCCTCGACCTGCTGGCCTCCGGTGATCCTTCCGCCTCAGCCTTCCAAGTAGCTGGAACTACAGGCATGCGCTACCACGCCCGGCTCATTTTTTGATTTATTGTAGAGATAAGGTCTCGCCAAGTTGCCCAGGCGGGTCTCAAACTCATGGGCTCAGGCAATCCACTCACCTCAGGCTCCCAAGGCGCGGGATTACAGGCTGAGCCACTGAACCCGGCTAAACTGCTCCCTTTCTATTGGACTGATTTCTTCCTTGTCCTCTTCTGTATCCTAATCCAGACTTCTAAGGAAGTTCTTTGTTTTCCTTCTTAGCTGGACTGGGCAGCCTTTGGGGTCATGACCCTTCCCTCCATTGGCATCCCCCTGCTATTGTGGTACTCCAGCAAGAGGAAATATGACACTCCCAAAACGAAGAAGAACTGAGTAGGCCTTCTACGACCCTCCTCACTCAAGAAATCCAGGTGCTTTCCAGACTCCAAAGGATGTATCTTAAACGCAATCTCCTCTTCTCCCTTAGCCCTTGGCCACCTCTCCTAGATCCTGTCCTGCTCTCAACCAGAGTAAAGGACCAGGCCTAGGAGTCCACGAGAGTCTCCTTGGTTCCATCATGAAGCCATACAAACAGGGATGCCTTTGGCAACAGCCTTGAGCCTAGAGGGCCCTCTGGTGCTCCACCGAGGTGCTGGTATATTGCTGGCGATGTGAACTCTCAGGGGTCTAGGGGGGCACTTCAGAGATGGCCTGACATCACCCACATCCCTTGCCCTCCCCTTTCAGAAGAGTGTGGAAGATGAAATGAAGGCTGTGGAATTCTTAGAGACTACCTAGTCTCTGCTCTGGGTCAGGGAAATGCTTACTCAATGGGGTTTGGGTTTTTTTTAAATAAAAACAAATGCCACACTGACTTGTCTTGTTTCCTGTTGCCTGGGTGAGCACAGGTGGTTAATGGAACTCAGGCTCTGAGCCCTGCTCCTGGGCAATTGAGCTGAGTTCTGGCCTTGCTGTAGGGGCAGTGGGTCCCATTCCCCTGGAGATATCTGCCCTTTGGAATCTTTTGCTTCCATCCTTCGTTTCCCTGACTGTTCTCATCAGTCACCACACATTCCCTTACACCTTCCTTGCCTGTCTGCTCCTCTCCACAGCTAAAGAAGATGGGTAGGGAAAGATGGTCTGCAGAGTCGCAGCTGTTCTCATGCCCCAGGAGTCATTCTGATCTGATTTATGGGCTGACTGTTCGTGAAAAGCTGTCTCTTACCCGATTCTAGCCCTTCCTCTGTTTAAGGACTAGCTCTTCTTGGCCTTTAATTTACTTGTAATACCTCTGTGTTTTGAGCTCAGGCAGGGAAGAAGGGCCTGGATCCTCTGAGGTGGACCTGTGGAAAGTCAGTGACTTTTGCTGCAGCAGCATAGGGAAGAAGTCACTGTGAGCTGACTCTGTCCAACCCAGGAATGCCGTGGTCCGAGAACAGCCTCCCAGGCAGGAGGGAAACCCAACAAACACCCGCTTTGTTCCTGCCACCAAGTTTCCCAGTTTAGATTCTGCTCCCCCTGGCTCCCCTGCCCAACCGGTTTAACCTTTCCTTTGCCCAGCAGTCAGAACCTCTGGGCCCCAGGAGGATGAAAAGGACATGGAGACAACGGGAGGCTCCAAATGGAGTGGCCCTCCGCCAGCTCACATCCCTCTTTCAGGGACTGCAGCTCGGACACCTCAGGACTGGCCAGGTCAGAGGCAAGGAGGATGTATTTGATTTTGTTCAGTGTGTTCCTGGTGGAAACCTGGGACTTGCTTAGGAGAATGGGGAGAAAAGGCCCATGGGTCCGAGGCTCAGGGGTGAGAAGAGCTGTAGGGAAGAGAGGGAGCTAGTTTGATGTGTATCACCTTGCTCTCTAGGACTATGAACTGCTGGTCTCTGGAGGAGGGAACACACTATTGTCCATCTTTATAGTATCCACTGAAAATATAATGAGTTAACCTATAGGAGGAAGGCTTCTGGGTTAAAGCGTATAATAAACTACCTAACTCTGGAAAGTGATACAATTGTTCCTCGACTTACGGGATTTGGTCCCAATCTGTTTATCCGATATGAAGAATGTAGCAGGATATAGCCCCGCCATGAATCAAAAATGTCTTAAGTGCCGGGCTCGGTGGCTCAGCCTGTAATCCCACACCTTTGGGAGGCTGAGGTGAGTGGATTGCCTGAGCCCGCGGGTTCGAGACCTGCCTGGGCAACTTGGTGAGACCTCACCTCTACAATAAATTTAAAAAAAATTAGTCGCACGTGGTAGCGCACACCTGTAGTTCCGCTACTTGGAAGGCTGAGGCGGAAGGATCGCCGGAGCCCAGCAGGTCGAGGCTGTGGTGGCTGGGAGCGGCCACTGCACTCCAGTCTGGGCGACAGTGAGACTCCAACTCAAAAAAAAAAAAAAAAAAATGTCTTAAGTTAAAAATGCATTGAATATACCTAATGTCACGACTTAGCCTAGCCTATCTTAAACATGCTCAGAAAACTTGCCTTAGCCTACAAATGGTCAATATCTAACACAAAGCCCTTTTCATAATAAAGTGTTGAATATCATATAGTCTATTGACTACTGTACAAAAAGTGAAGAACAGAATTGTGTGGATACTCGAAAATCTTAAGTCAAGCTGTCAGATGTTGGGGACTGTGTAGATAAGAGATTCCTTCCTCAGGCTGACCCTGGGAGGTATCCCTTTCCCAAAAGCTGGGGGACTCTCCCTTTCCTTACAAGACTCAGCAATTTGTGTCCTGGCACTTGTCATGGGGAAGGAGACTAGGAGAGGAACGCAGCCTGATGCAGATGACAAGGGAAGCATTGTGAAGGCAGCTGGTGTCACAGGCACTTTGACAAAAGGCCAAAATTAAATACTTCATCTCTTAAGAGATCAACTTCTTTGGAGTCAGCATGCAATGTGAGCCTCCCTTAAGTACTGGGGTTGAAGAATATAAGAGCCTCCAAAATCTATAGACAGAGACTTAGCTGAAATAGTTGGCTGTAGGCTTGAGCCCTCTTAACTTCTCGAGGTCATTTAATAGGAGAGAGAGTGACAGATAGCACTCCTCCACTCTAATTGAAAACCACCCTAGGGAGGTGTGAACTCTGATCTCAGGACTATGTGCAGCTCTGTGAGGGGAGAGGGAGAGTAAGCACTGATGCCACATCCTTCCTGGAGGCTGGGCAGCCAATCAGGCTCCTCCCTCAAAGGCAATACAGATAGCGAGCCAGCTGCCAAAGTGTTCCAGGCGCCCCCCCCAACCCCGCCCTGGAGACCAGCCCTCTAGCCCTTCATAATCATCCAAACTTGAGCTGCTGGCGTCTGCTCACCCATGCACCCAGCCCCAGTACCAGGAGGAGCCAGGTGTCTTGATTCCACCGCCTTCCTGGACTTGGCTTTGGCATTTGGAGACAGATCTAAGAATGTCATGAAGCTGGAAGTAATGGAGCGATTCAGGGAAAGGATGGGGACTTAACAAGTCTTAATCCCTTGAGAGAGCATTTGTGTGTGGGGGGGTGGAAGCCACACTGACACAGTGGCAGGAGCACTGGGTTCCAGTCCCAACTCGGCCACGCCCTGGCTGTGTGACCTCAGGTAAACCACTCCCCTTCCTGAGCCTGTTTGCTCATCTGGCCAATCATGAGATTGTTTAATGAGAGGATTTCTGAGGACCCCTCACCAGGAATATGGGGTGGGCATTTCCCCTGTGTTCTTAGGAAATGGGAAACAGCCACCATCACTTTCTCATCACATGGTTGGGGCCCAGTGAGGCAGGGGAGGGTACACAGTACTACACCTGGCAGTTGCTGCCTCTTCCTCTCACCCAGGGTAAGAATTCTAGGGCACGCATAGACTGTAGGTGGCCTAATTGAATCCCCTTGTCTAATAGATCAAGAAAGTCAACAGTGAAGTGACTTGTCTAAGGCCATACAGCCAGAGGCAGTTAGTACATTGATTTACTCTGGACCTGGCATTTATGTTTGCTATTTGTACACAGCTTATCTAACACCTCCGTTTTACAGATGAGGGGACAAGGTTAACAGGTAACTCAAGGCCCCATAACCAGTGAGTCGGCAGATCCAGCCAAGATCTTCCAACTCCAACTGCCCTTTCTAGGGACCACAGGAGGCGAGGAGGGCTCCCTGTTACCCCAGGAAGTCCAGTGTCTGCCCCAGCTGTTCTCTCCCCCAGGGAAAGCAGTGGGGGTGAGTCAGCACCCCTAACCCCACCCCAGAAGCTGTTATCTGGGAAGAGAGTGGAGGAGCTGGTCAAATATCCTGCCACCTGGTATCCACAACAAGCCGTGAGTCCTGTGTGTGCTGAGTTGCCTGGTCACTCCTGTTCCTGTTGGCTGACGCCAGGGCCCTCCTCAGATGCAGCTGCCCTCAGAATCGCTCCTCCCTAGACTTTCATCACACACACAGAAAAAAACTTTCCTCCTCTACTGCTGTAACCTACCTTTTAAAGGGACCGACAGGCTCTTTTGAAGCCAAATGTACGACCAGGCAGGGGACCTAATGACCCCAGAGAGGACCTTGCTGTTAAGTAGGTTTCCAGCTGTGGACTCTTTCCCTGAGATGTTCTCTTCCTCCCCTTGCCAGCTTCTCCCTCTTCCTGTTGGAGGGAGGGTAAAAGTTCCCTGGGAGGTCAGTTGCTCACACTCTCTCCCCTCAGGGTGACCCCAGTTTGGCTTCCTGAACCTGTTTCCACACAAGCCTGAATCCTGCGGCCACCCTTTGTTCAGGGAATGCTGAGGACACAGGGACCCAGGAGTCCTCGGATCGTGGTGGCACTGAAGGGGTTAAAGGCCAGGGCACAGTGCTGCCTAGGGTGTTTGAAATAGGGCAGGGAAGGGGAGGGCTGGAGTAGTTGAAGAGGCAGCTTGTCTGGGCTGGAATGAGTCCCCCCTATCTCCTATGCAAACTTCTGGACCATGAGCAGTTCCCTTAAAAGGACCCAGAAAGAGACACCCCCACTGAGGTATTGGACTGGAGCTTTAAGGGGGCCACCTGAAATAGGACCTCTTCCCACACTGAAGTCACCACCCGAGGAGAGGAGCAGGCCCCCCATCTTTGGGCTATCTCCCAAGTCTGGTGAGTCTCCCTCTTCCCTCTTAGGTCCTTACCCTATGGATGGGCACTCCCTGGAGGAAAGATGTCCAGGAACCCCTCAGTGCCCCAGGAAGTAGCAGAACAAGTTGCAGCTGCTTCTAACCAGCCTTCTTCACTGAGCTCCCATTTTTTTTTGGAGTCAGATTCTCACTCTGTCACCCAGACTGTAGTGCAGTGGCACACTCACAGCCACTGCAGCCTCGACCTTCTGGGCTCAGGTGATCCTTCCACCTCAGCCTTCCAAGCAGCTGGAACCACAGGCATGTGCCACTACATCTGGCTGTTTTTTATTTATTGTAGAGACGAGGTCTTGCCATGTTCCTCAGGTTGGTCTCGAACCCCTGAGCTCAGGCAATCCTCTCGCCTCCACCACCCAAAGTGCTGGGATTATAGGCTTGAACCACTGCGCCTGGCTGAGCTCCTATTTTTAATTAGAAGGCATTGTGTGTGTGTGTGTGTGTGTGTGTGTGTGTGTGTGTGTGCAAATGTGCAAACGAAATCACAATAACAGCCAGTGGTTATTGAACACAATTTGTGTGGCAAATGATGCTAAACCTTTGTATGCTTTCTTTCCTACTCCTCAAAATCCTATACTGTTGGCGTACCATAATCCCTATATTAAAAATAAGGTTTAGAAATGTTAAATAACTTTAGCTAATCCATGTCAATTAGGAGGTAAGTTGTAGGACTGGGGTTCAGACTCAAGTTCATCTGACATCAAAGTTCATTATGTTGTCCTTTTTTATCTCTTTTTATTTTTTTATAGTTTTTTTGGGG